GTGTGTGTGTGTGTGTGTGTGTGTGTGTGTGTGTGTGTGTGTGCAGGTTTGCACGCTTTTGTGTATTTCAGATGTGAACAGTTGTGTCCATCTGGTTATTTTAGTGAATGTCAGTGAAAAAAGTGAGGCTAAAGGTTTTATTCATTTTCTGAATAAGCTCCTTGAATGTATTTGTGCTTTGGCAAAGCACCAAATTCAATAATTCAGATAGTGGGTTTGGTGTGTAGTGGCTTAAACTATTCAAAAGAAAGGAAAAAATGAAAAGTTTTTCAAAATCTGAAGGTGGTTCGTTCACTTGTAGAGAGCTTTGTTTGATAAAAATCAAATTTCTCTGAAATCCTGTTCCCTCATTAATGCAGTTCAGTGGTTAATCCATCTTATTTAAGGGAAATTTTCAAGTGACTGTGTTGTAAGGTTTTTTTTTTCTCCCGCTCCTTATCTCATTAAGCTTTAACAAATCAACCACTGGGGCTGYTAACTAGGGAGTGCGAACATAATCAATACAGTATTATACAGCTGCTCTCCTTTTCACTAAACCATAAATATTTTTTTTCCCAGAAGAGCAAAGAAATGCTTCTCAATGTCTGAGAGGTTTCATGCTTCATATGACCAGTGATTTATGTTCTGTTACACATGAGTAAAACACATTTAAACTTTTATTATCCCTGGAGGGAAGTTTGTTTTCCCCCCTCCTCCAGTCAAATGCATGTCACCTACAGCGATGAATCAAAACCGTGTAATACAATTTTCAACCTTCTTTGTCTCGTGCCTCCCACACTACTGACCCAGATGAATGAATGGATTAGTTAAAACAAGCCACAATGATTAAAAAATTAATAGCCCAACTAACTCATCTCACCCACAAATATAATCAGATGCAGCTGTTCCTGTAAACGGGGTGATTGTAAAGGCACGATGAATAAACATCAGGYGGGTTGTTTTTAAAGGGCCAGGAGGTGAATGAATTTAGAAGTGATGAATAAGGTCACACTTTGGGGAGGGGGCCAATCATTTCTGAGAGTGTAAAAAGAAATCCAGCATTCTGACGCACTAAGATATTTTACAGTGGGCACCAGAGACGCTCCTTCTCTGTTTTCAGCCTAACTCTTGTTACTACTATTTCCATTTTAATCCCAGTGACCTACTTGTGTTTCCATCAAAACTCCTTAGTTTAATATACAGCCAACAGTTTTTAAACTTCTTGAGATGTATTTTACACTGTAAAATTCAACACATTGTTTCAAAATAATGACCAAGAGAAAGATTTTTTTTTAATTCTAGTTACTTGAACAATATAAATTGTTATTTTATCATTTTATGTAATTGGGATTAAAACCCCTTATTGGATGGATGGATGGATGGATGGATGGATGGATGGATGGATGGATGGATGGATGGATGGATGGATGGATGGATGGATGGAGTGAACCAAGGTTATAACAGTTTTGGAATTTTCATTATAGTTTATTTTTATTTTGTTTTGACTTTTTTCTTTTAATTCAGTTAGTTTTAATTAGTTTTTACAATTGATTTGCTAGTTTATTTTAGTTATTGTTGCATTTTTAATGTTTAGTTTTAGTTTAGCTTAGTTTTTATTAATTCTGGTATTAGTTTTTTTATAGTTTGAGTAAACATATTTGCCAATGTATCCTCAAGCTTGTGATGTTCCTGTGTGAGTTAACTAACCAACAGCTATTTGGTCACTAGTTAAAGAAGTCGCTTATAGCAACACCTTCCTAAAATAATTGCATAACTCAATTTTGCCAGCTAAGGACTTAGGTGATTATTTTAGGATGATGACAATAGTTGTCTCCAAGTCCAACGCGGTGTTACCTGTTGCTTGTGAGCTACTAAGAGAAGCTAGCGTGTCAAGATAGTCATAGTTAGCCAGCTTGTGTGAACTTGATTCATACAGTTTTTCCTTTGAGAAGTACAGTATTCCACCTATTTTATCACCTAAAGTGGACATTGCACTTTCTCCCAACTTTTGTTGTTGTCATTTGTCAGGTGATGCTGAGCAGCAGCAGACTGTAAACAAGTGTTGTTACGGACCACAGCTACTGTGAAACTACTCAATTTGAAAAAAAAAAAAAGATCCACATAGCTCAAAACAAATTGACAAACACTAAAACTAAGGATATTCTGTCTATAATTTTAGTTAGTTTTAGCTAGTTTTGTAAAAATATCATACAGTTTTAGTTAGTTATATATTTTTTCATTTTATGACAGTTTTTATTTATTTTAGTTAACTTTTTTTTTCAATTTCAGTTTTCGTTATTTAGTTAGTTTTAGTTAACCGCACTGTAAAAAATGAAATGTTGGATTTACTTAACCATGTTATGTGACCTGGTTCCACTTAACTGAGTTGAGTGAATTCAAAGCAATAAACCAGTTTTTTAACCAAAGAACATGAGCATGTTGTTTTGAATTTACTCAACTCAGTTAAGTGGAACGGGGTCACATAACATGGTTAAGTAAATCCAACATTTCATTTTTAGAGTGAACCCTGCAATGAACAATAGAAGACTCCTAAAGAAACAAAAAATGAAGACAGTTAAAATATGTCAGTGCACACATTACTTCTTTCATGGTAACTTCATTGTATAAAAATGCCTGATAATGTTGCATGATATAAAAGTTACATTTTCAAACGAGGCAAAAATAAATGGTCAAATCCGACTGTCTGTATTACAGTTAATGAAACATTTTTAATGAACTAGCTTTTATAACACCTTCAATCAGAAACAAACCTACCACAGTAAGAAACACAAAGAAATACTCTGATAACAGAACACAAGAAATCTGATTTATCTTAAGAACAACATGAGTGTCCTGTTTGTCTTGTAGTTAACGAGATATTACTCTCTCATTGAAAATGTCAACTCATTTGTGGTGTTGGATAAAAAGTCAGGGAAGTGAATTAAATTAGTTGTGTACATGTGCCACCTCGGTATTAATGGTTTGCAGAAATATGACACATAATACAATAATATTTGTTTTAGTCATTGATTTAACTATAAAGCAACATCAATGGGCTACAGTACTGCCTGAGCTTTTATGTCCCTTTTCTTTGCTATGAACACTGAAATTATTTTTCATCAACTCTACATGTATATTCAGTTGTTACTGAAAAAGGTTTCTAATTATTATAATATTTTTTTTCCTTCTTTGAGTAAAGTTGGCTTAAAGCTATAGACTGTTAGTGAGAATGAACTCTTAAATTGTAATAACTTATTTATGGCCCACTTTGAAAGATTCATGTTATCATCTGAAATGATTCAACTTAAAGCTCTTAGACATTGAGAA